GTATGAACTAAATCCTTGTATGGATTTGTTTTTATATAGTTTTATTTTACGTTTCAGTTTATGCATGAAAATGTTATAATCCGTACTTGGATCTTGGTTCATGTAATTGATCGATTCGTTTTAAATATTACGTTTTTCCGCTATGCGAAACCGGTCAATTACTAACACCACCACCATGGCTGTGGTGAACTACCAAGGCATGGTCGTGCCTTAAAAAATGTTGGATAATCTCAATTTCTTCAAGTTTTAAGTCTCAATTTCATTCCAATGCTCCCATCTACTCAATTAAAACCTAAAAAACACAAAAACTATTCAAATCAATAGCTGACTATTCATATCTCAAACTTAACAAAAACTAACATTAAAACAAAGAAAACAAATGAGAAATTAACCAAACTGCTAGAAAAATAACCCTAAAAACACTCAAATTATGCAACTTATCACATATCTACATAGAAGATTAGTGTCAATATAATTTACTAACACCATATCCAAAAACATACTCTTAAGACATTCATAGCTATCTCATTCTTTCTTGTACAGTATCCAGACTTTTCTTCTCCCGATTCTCGAACTTTAATGTATGTTCCATCCAGAGCACCTAAACAATTCTACATTATAAATTTCAATGTTAGATAAATTTTTAATTTATTACAAGTGAAATAAACAAGGTGTAGGAGTAAACCTTGAAATACTTTCATCTCTCATCCGCGCTGTTTTCAAGGACAGGTACTGGCTTTTCGAATAATAAATGATGAAGCCGAAGAATGGAACCTAAAACTGCATTAAATTGCCTTGTAACAGTTTCTCCAGATCTACGAAAGAATGATTGCAATTGTCTATTCTTCTCATGATGGCCTATTGTATAATGATTGCAATTGTCTATTCTTCTCATGATGGCCTATTGTATATAAAAAAAATGGCAATCATCTATTCAAGATCCAAACCCTTGGTTGGTTATAACTTACGAACATCTCTAATCATCTCACATAACTTCCAAAATGTTTTTCTATTCATTCTTAGTAAGTTTATTGTTTGAACATCACTTTCTCTTATGGCATATTTAATATTGCTCAACCTAGCAGCAACTCTCTATTCAACTTATTCATCATTCAAGTAGTTAATGGTTCTAGGTAATCTCATACCAAGCAATGTAAATTTTTGAATCATAAAAGTACAAAGGTTCGAAAGCATTTCAATATAGATGGCAGCTATTGCAATGTCAATTCTTCTCCTATTATTTGGTAGACGAGCCATCTCAAATCCCTAATACATAAGTAAAAAAAAAAAAATATATATATATATATATAAAGACATGATCATCAAACCCAATATTATAAAAATAAAAATAAAAAAATCCATAGATTTCAAATTTTTTTTTTTTTTTTCCTAAACCAAGCGAAGGATTTTACCAAATCCATGGATTTAATGAAATCATTCATTTAGAATCCCTCAATCCAACCTAAAAAAAAAAAAAAGTAAATTTAGAATAACGTTATTAGATATAATATTTTTAGTTAATTTCAGCGTTAAGTTGCCCAAGTTAATTTTGCAACTCTTAGTCCAACGGCATTGCGACTACCAAAGTAATGATAACAAGCCTATTTGGAATCATGGGACATAATTAAAGCACTTATACATATGAATTTAATGTTGAGATTAAAATATAAATGGTAAGAGATAAGGAACTAAGTTTTATAATTTTTTAGTTATATTCAAATAATTGTTTACATCTATAAATATCCCTTCTTTAAGTTTAAGATGTATTTTTCTATTTTGAAAAAATTTAAAATTTAAATAATCACAATACATTAAAGGCCCGAGGCTTTTAAGATTTGACGTGGCCGAAGGCCTTTACCAAATATGAAAGAAAGTAAATATGGGCCCCGTTATGGTCCATTTGAAAGAAAATGGTTTCGAAACACTGGAAAATAGCAGTTGGGCCGATGAGTGTATCCAACATTCTTTGGTTTTTACTTTTTACTCACTTACTTAATACTTATTAGACTTTAATATCATTTAGCACGCTGGTAAAATATATATATATATATATATATCACTTAGCACTTAAAATGTCGTGAAATTTGATTGTTTATCAAGCGGGAAGTGATTTTTTAACCCCACTCATTTTATTAATTGTCCCCATTTAAACGCAAAATTTGTATGAAAATACATAATAGTTTCTATTTAGTCTGCATTTCAATTTATTGACATATCTCAAATTGATTAAGTCTACTAATTTCACCAATCAATCATGTTCTAGTTTATCTCAAAATCTATTATATTAGCTTCTTCTTTATTTTTATGTTGCCAGTAAATGAATATTTTTTTTTACTTTCTTTTGATTGGTGTGCTCAAACATTTTATTATTCTCTCTTCATAAACATTCAATTAATAAAAATAAAGATGGTTTTAAAACATAAAATTGCCTTTAAATTAAATATAAAATAAAATTTTCACCTCAGAATAGAAGATGGAGGCCAATGGTGGTCCTGGTGGAGCCAATTTAGGTTGAGGGTGGCTCAACGCCCTCCCTGGGCTTTAAAAAAAAAAAAAATCTGGATTCAGCTGTGTTTGTTTCCTTATTCTTATTTTATCATATTCAAAATACATGTTTGTTTCACTATTTTCAAAATTTAATTATATTCTATTTAACTCAAAATATTTATATTTTTTTAACTCTTTAGATTTGTTAATTTAACTAAACACCTATAACAATAAAAGTTTATAAATTGACAAAAACACCCCTGGGTACCCACATATTCCCGATAGTTGGCCACCACCGTCAACATTTAATGGGTGGGTGGAGGTGTTTTTTTTTCAATTTTAAAATTTTTATTATATGAGGTGTTTAACTAAATTAACAAATATATGGGATTATAAAATAATCTTATCAAACACATTTTCAAATTCAAATCATATTCTCAGAATAATAACCCAACTCAACTTTTTTAAAAATACTACTCAAGATAATCAAACAAACACACCATGATTTTCTCTATTTGCTTTACCATATATTAGGAAACTTGTAATTGTAAACAAAGAGTGTTAACAATAACTATTAAAATTCTATATTTATCATTATTAAAAAAAAAAAAAATTGAGCTATATTATTTTTTGATTTTGTCCTCCGCACCATGGTTATCAAATCGTGTATCGTATCGTGTATCAAAAACCTAATTTTTTGAATCGTGTATCGCGTATCGTATCATATCGTAAGATACGCATTTTTAAAAAAAATTAATAAAATAATCAAAATTTTCTAAAAATTAATATAATCTCCAAGATTAATAAAAGAATTTTGTGGTATTATTGACTTTAAATTATGGTATTACATAATCAAAATTAATCACAAAATTCCAAGATCAATGTCAATATCTATATCTCCACTTATATTATTATTATCATGTAAAATGGGCAATACATATTCCTCTTCACTTTCTTCATGCAAAATAGGTAAATTTGGACAGGTTTTAGTAAATCGGGTTGGGTGACCCGGTTTTGACCCGAAATTTTTTTTGGACCTTTGGCCCAAATTAATAAAGTCATATCGATTTATATCGATATTTTTAAGGATACGAACGGATACGTATCGTATCGTAGGATACATATCAACGTATTGAATGGTTTAGGATACACTCTCTGATACATATCGTTGACGACCTGTATCAAATTGTATCGTATGATACGTATCGGGTATCGTAGGATACTAACAACCATGCTCCGCACTTGAATTCATGGCTGTGTCACTAATGGAGGCTACTAGACTAAAACCATTTACCTTTCCAAATTGATCATGTCTAAAAAATTTTTTTTATACATGTATTTTATTATTTATTCTTATACTAGTAGAGTAATTATAAGTTTACTAGGATACAGTTTAGACCCTATAATTTAGGTCGATTACAAGGACAAATTTATTTTGCACTATTAAAATTGTTCTCTAACTAAACAGACATTATTTTAATACCAATGGGAGAAGGGCATATTTGACTTTTCCTCCCTAAATAAAATATTAAAATAATAAAAATATTTATTTGAAACATAAAATAACTCCTTTAATTTTATTTTCAACAAAATCTTACATTTAACCCTAATTACCCTAACCGATCAAGCAAAACCCAGCTCCCACTAGCAAACACAACAACTATTTTTGTCGATGTGGCTGTAATTTGCAAACCCACCCGTCAAATGTAGTAATAACTAATAATGATAAAAATAGACAATGTCCACCAGATTTATTTGTCTTGATGAGCTTCCGAAAAGTATTTAATATTTTTTTAACATCAAATGAAAAAGAATATCAAGGGTTTGACTTGACGGTCAAGAATGTTTATTTTTTTCATTTTGGAGTCACTCTTTGAAGTCATCTATCACATTTGTGACTTATTTTGAAACATTAGACTTATAGGGTGCTCAATAGACAAACTGACTCGGACACTTCGGTCATAACAAAAATCAAATAAAAGAGAACACAATTTTAAACACATTTGTCTAAGTTTCATAATTTTCGGAGGTTTCAATTAGGTGGAATTTGCATTTAAAATTTTAGGGTTTCTGAAAACTGTTGCATAGGGTGATAATTTAGACTAAACCAGTGGAACTAATGATAGATCGGCGAAATCTGATCACAATGGTGGACAAAAGAAACTTTTCCTAGGTTGAAATGTAATAATCTCCAACCGTTTTTTAATTTTTTTAATAATTGATTTAACTTTTAAAATAAAATAAAAATTAATATTTTAAATGAATTAGTAAATTCAAATAAATATTTATTATATTAAATTTCTTGATTCATTTTTTGAAATTAAATATAAATTAATAGTGTGTTATAATGCACTAAACATTCTATTATATTTTGTGTCTTATTATATAATATATTTTATTAATACATGGCCACTGGTCTTTAAATCTGGGCCATTTTAAGGAATCCTAGTAAGCCCAAGCCCGCCAATAAACCCGGGTTAGCTACTTTACTGAAACCCAAAACCCTCAAATAATTCAATTGGAATAGAACCTCTTTTACCGAAGAAGAACACCAGAATTACAAAACCCTAAAACCAAAACCTCTACTCTTCTCAGGTCTTCGATTTGAAGAAGGAGAAGACCTGAAAGCCAAAACCCTAAAATCAACAGCAACTACCAACAACTTTACAATGTCGATGTCTAAGAGTTCGAAGATGCTTCAATTCATAAACTACCGGATGCGCGTGACCATCCAAGACGGTCGCCAGCTGATCGGAAAATTCATGGCCTTTGACCGTCACATGAACCTCGTTCTCGGAGACACTGAAGAGTTTCGTAAGCTTCCCCCAGCTAAGGGCAAGAAAAATAATAACAATGAGGAACGCGAGGACCGTCGCACTTTAGGTCTCGTCCTTCTCAGGGGTGAAGAAGTCATTTCCATGACCGTTGAAGGCCCTCCTCCTCCTGAAGAGTCACGTGCCAAGGCCGTCTCCGCTTCCGCCGCTGCTGGTCCCGGTATTGGCCGTGCCGCTGGCCGTGGAGTCCCCACTGCTCCGCTTGTCCAAGCCCAGCCGGGTCTGGCCGGACCCGTTCGTGGTGTTGGTGGCCCTGCTCCTGCCATGATGCAGCCACAGATCGCTAGGCCACCTGTCAGTTACCCCCCTGCTGCCCCGCCCGTGATTCGTCCGCCTGGTCAGATGCCTCCAGCTGGTATGTTTCAGGGACAGGCTCCACCACCCATGCGGGGCCCACCGCAGCAGGTTCCCCCGCCTTTTGGGGTTAGGCCGCCGCCCCAGCAGTTCTCTATGCCTCCACAGCAGTTTGGGGGTCAGAGACCAATGGTGCCGCCTCCACCTGGGCCGATGATGAGAGGACCTCCTGCTCCTCCGCAAGCTCGACCGGGAATGCCCAATGCACCTCCGCCGCGTCCTGGGATGCCTCCACCGCCTGGTGCTTCGATTCCTGGTTTCGCACCTCCTCGTCCTGGGATGCCACCTCCCCCAGGAAACCCTTCGCAGCAGCAACAGTGAGCAGCAACATTGATGGGGTATGCCTGCTTCTTGATTTTCAATCATATTGGATTAATTGATTGAATTATGCTGTTAATTTATGTTTATGATCTTAGGTTTGTGTTGTTGGTAGGAAACTATTGTTTGAAGGATTGTAGATTCAGTATTGTTTTTTATAACTACAGCTAAACTATGCATTTAGCTATACGATGTTGGGCTTACTCCTGATTGACTTCCATTTCTTCATTGTGGCAGGAGTTGTGAAACTTTTGTAGCGAAGGTTCTCGATTGGAATGTTCTTGTCATGCATAAGCTTGCTTTGAGTTTGGTATTGATTTAGAATCGTATGGATCTTCTTACTTCACTAGTTGAGGGTTTTGTTGATGGTATTATAATAGAACAATATGTTTGTTTTCGTAGTGTATGGCCAATGGAAACAAAAAGGGTTGTCGATCAAATATTCTTGCTGTGTAGGTGTTTTGAGCGACTTATTGTTATCCTATTATTTTGTTTATGGTAGGTGTTCTCTCTGTCTCTCTCATGGTTTGACTTGTTGCATAATGTAAGAAATACGCTTCATTCACTGGGGTGGAGACTACACTTGTCCTTGTGTTGCCATGTTGTGACAGTAATATCTTTTATAGTTTACCTCAACAGTAGTTAGGTTAAAGTAATTCATGTCTTCTAATTGCATTACCATTCATTTGGGTATAAATGTCTTTTTCTTTTCCGTAACTGTTCTATACTGCCATGCTTTTATTGTTTTAATATGAGTCTCATTGCATTTCTCTGTCATCATTTGACCTGTAATTATGTTGGTGCTTGTGCATTTGTTTGATATTGGCATTTAGTTTTCCTGAGTGTTACCAAACTTTTATAACTATGCTCTGGCTTGCTATTGATATGTTACAAACATTGCAGGATAAGGCTGAAATTTAACTTGTGTTCTACTGTTTCTCTAGATTGAACTTTACAGTTCGTATTTTTTAAAGCAGAAAGTTGGAGTTTCTTCTAGAAGGAAAAACCTATTTTATGGTTTATGTAGATATTTCAAACTTTCTTCTAAGCATTTTTAGAAAGTTGGAGTTTCTTCTAGAAGGAAAAACCTATTTTATGGTTTATGTAGATATTTCAAACTTTCTTCTAAGCATTTTTAGAAAGTTGGAGTTTCTTCTAGAAGGAAAAACCTATTTTATGGTTTATGTAGATATTTCAAACTTTCTTCTACGCATTTTTGCGTCAGTTGTCATCCATCCTAGAGACATGCTATAACTAAAAGTGCAATTTTAGGAGCCTTTAAGAGCATTTTTATTTTCATGGATTGATTTTATTTTTCCCTTGTAATGTTTGGATTATTTATCTTGACAGGTTAGTTGTTGGTACAATGGTACCTATGCTTGGACTAATTTCTGTTCATATTTTGAAGATGTTAAGTGTGGTTATAGGATCATATCCCGAAAATGTTAGTGTAGATGTAGGATTATATCTTGAAAATGTTAGTATATAGGATCATATCTCGAAATTGTAAGTGTAGATATAGAAAATTGATAGAGGAGCTTCAAAACTTAAACTTTGGCCTCTGTATGGTTGAAGTGTTAGTTTTTCTCTTATGTTTTTCCGGTGAATATCACTGTGTTATCGCCGCCTTGTTTGTTACAGAGCTATAAATGCATCGTCTCTTAAGACTGTTTTGCTCTGGTTTGATGCTGGCCATGTTTATCCCCACATGCTTATTTTTATTTTTTATTTTTTCTAATATGCAAGTCCAACGTTCTTATACTTATTATGAACACAACCATAATGTTGATTACTTGGCCACCATGGGCCTTGATTGCCCAGATTTCACATGGTCAACTTCTGATATCAATTCTCTCTTATTGCATAATAGTCGAGGTTGTACAAAATGTAGATTTTCATTATTTATCTTGTTGCATTATATGTTTCGGACTTAATTTGTTATTGTTTTTGTTCTATGAAATGTGCGGAAAATTATGTACATTATCATTGATTTAAAAACCGACCCTTTGTGAGACTCGGTAAGGTGATCGGGTCATGGGTCGATTGGTTCAACCGGTTAGATTGGTGACGTCAGCAATAATTTTATTTTTAAAAAAATTATAAATTAATCTTTGAAATTTTAGTATATTACAAAATATCCCTAAAAAATTAAATTCAGTCCCTAAAATTTTTATTTATTTAAAAAAAGGCCCCAAAAATTACTAATTAATCCTTAAACTTTTGGCATACCTCTAAAACCTGAATCGGATCGGAGAAGCTATCGGGTCTTGATCAGACTGATCGGTCCGGTTTGGGTTTTAAATCAGTGTACATTATACAATTTATACAATTATGTTATAAACACGATTGAATATTTAGAACATGTGTTGGCGGTTTTTCTTGATTTGAAATCAATGTCTTATCAATGTTGACTATAACTTGTGCTTTCTGTGTGTATGAATTGATGTCCAAGTCGATAGCCAGTTTTGTCCTAATAAGCCACACATGATATTATAATGTCACATTCAATGTTTTAAAACCTGACCTGGTCATCCGGTTCAATCGGGACCCAACCCGAAATGTTGTAAGTAGCCCATTTTGTTATCCAGAGAATGGAGGAACCGTATCTGATTCCACAGAACGAACATAGCCAAATCTGTATATATCGAAACATATGATTAATGTTACCTAGCCACTTATAAATAAAATCAACAAATAATGAGTATTAAGAGGTATTTATCAAGCCATACGGCACATATCCCTTCTTATTCAATCCTACTCACTCCAGGTGTTTGACTTTGACATATCGTTTATCTAACTACTTATGTAATGATGTATACGTCTATTCCTACACATAAGCACCCTATGAATTATGATTAACTGAGGGAGGTAGCTGACTAACTGCATGACTTCCCGCTTAATCACCTTTCTACTATTGCTACTTCGCGTGAAACCACCACGCGAAGTCGGCGACACCCAAATCGCATCCTCCATAGTCCATTCACGCCACATACCAACCCACAAATACAGTTTAACCATAATTCAACTAAGCGAAATTCAATAAATAAAATTGAATACTTTTTTAATATTGAAGCGGAATTCAAGTCTATCGTCGTTGCCGTTAAGGCTTTCAAGCCTTTCACGGCAATTGTGAGGCCTCTGGTGGCCTTAAGTTGCATATCAGAGGCCCCCAAGGCCTCTCAGTGGCTACCCTCCAATTGTGTCTCAAGGTTGTTTCAGATGACGACACTAACGACAAAAGGTAGTTGGCGATTAGGGGGTCTGGGTCTTTTGTTATTTTGTTGAAGGGTAAAATCGTCTTTGCACTTCTTAATAGACTTTCATTAGCGAAACTGGACGGAATGGGGGCTAAGGTCTTATTTCCTGGACCAACGGGTTCTTTCATAGTTCCTCAAACGCATGGTGGGTTTACGAAAATTTCGGAAAATTTTAATTAAGGGATTATAATCCCATCCGAACTGAAACCGATAGCTTTAAATTTAAGGCCTCGAGGCCTTGGTCAATTTGACGAAAGTAGCCTTAACAAGTGTCTAAATTGCAAGAGAAGTTTCGCATGTCGGAGTCAATTAACCAATTTGTCACGAATCATACAAAACCTTCTGGCTAACCTAGATACTATATTTTATTGTACGAACAATTAATTAATTAAAAAATAAAAAATAAAAAGTTTGACAAAGTTAGCACAGTACCAATACTTTAGCTTCTGAAGAATTCACTGATCACACAGACTCTCTGAGCTAGCACACATTCATACAGCAAAAAGAAAAAAAGAAGATAATTTCCTTAGAAGAAACCGATGATTCCTCATAACTCTCCGCCATTTATACCCCCCTCATTATCACTCTTTAAGTTTCATATCCAAAGATCGTGGACGAAGAGTAACTAGAGAGAGAAGAGAGAGTTTCAGCTTCTTTATCTTTAAGGATAACTACTGGAGAGCTAAAATTTCTGTCCAGGTGAAGGAGGCTTTTTGGTGTTTTTACCATGAGAAAAAACATAATTCTTCAGTGTCTTTTACTTCTGGAATGCTATCTGGGTATGTTCTTTCTCTTGTTATAACCTTAATTTCCTTTTATTATTAGTTCTAGTTTCTTTTCCTTGGTCTTGCTTTTCTGGGTCATTTTTTTATTTTGTTTTACGTTGTGGTTCAGTTGGTTTTCCTTGCTTTGCTTATCATCTCTTCAGTGAAGGTTCAGAAACTGTTTCCTTTGTCCATAACAACACTTTTATTTTCGAGATTATTTTAAAGTCTTAAGAAAAAAAATTGCTTTATTTTAGAGGCAACAGTGAACAGTCTACAGTCTGTTTATCATTATGAAAGTTAAGCCTTGTACAAAAGTTGCCTTCATATTTCTCTCTGTGTCTTTTTATTTTCCTTCTATTATGTGTACATTGATAAACCGTTGTTACTTTTAGCTAGCATTGAAATGGTAGATATTTTTGACTTTAAAGGAGTGAAAAGGAACAAGAAAAGCATTATATCTCCAATTAAGTATATTATTTGTTCCATTTAATCATCAAAAATCTAGTTATTAGAGGTAGAAGAAACCCCATAATTGACAAAAATTGAGGTAAATAATATGCAACAGCTCAAAAATCCTTAGATAATTTGCATATCTTCTTTTGTAATTAATGTCTTAATTTTCGTTATTCCTCTCTGTTTAATGATTTTAATAATTAGAGGGTGTAATCATAACTGACAAAATAAATTTGGTAGTTCAGTTTTTCTTGTTTAGCTTGATTTCTCATTTATGGTAATTTCAATGATATTTTTAATTTCTTTAATGCACTTTATAGTTCATGACCTAATGTTAATATTGCCTATAAAACGCTCTTTGATAAGAGCTTACAACTGAATTATAGTCATATAAATAGACAAAAACAAAGAATAAAACAGTTATTTTACATCAATTTTATGCAATTTTTATTTGTTTTTATGACTTTAAGCAGAACATTATTGCTTTGATAAGTAGTGGGAGAAATATTTAAGTTTATAGATTTTTATTTTATTTTATTAAATTGGGTGAGAGAGATAAATAATCGAGATGATAAAATATTGCATATTGATGAAAAGACAATAAAGAAAAAGAATGGAGGCGGAGGCAGAGCAGAGGCAGACATACTTTGCTTCCCCAATGCATCTTGTGTTGTTCTATGTGAGGACATTAAATTGGATTTTTAATTAAGACTATTCATAGCTTTACCAAGGACTATTATGACGGTTAAACGATTGATGCTGCATGGTTTAGAGTAGTTTATACATCTTAATTTCATATTATATTGTTTTGATTGTCTATACATTGTTGGCTATTACGAATACTTCATCATTTTTATATAATCCTTTATAATTTCTTTAACTTTTTGGTGCCAATTATGTGATTACTGATATGACTTCATAACATTCTTATAAAACAATGCAATTAAGAGACAACTTTTCTATATATATTATAAACATATCAAAGTTTAGATACTCAAATTAAGAATATTGAGATATTTTAACATTTAGCAAAGAAAAGAAAATTT